TTACAGATACTTTTGTTGATGTTTCTCGCTTAGTGGAGGTTTTTTCTGCACCGACTTGACTTTTCCATTGACTTTGAGTTTGCAACAAACTGTGTTAAGTGAAATCTGTTCCCACAGTTTTGAATATCTGTGAACTGAAACCCAGTGGATTAATTGTAACAATGTCTCTCCAACTTTCTAGAAGACACCAACCATGTTTTCACACATATTCTCTCTTTGAATTAAATCTATTAGATTAAAATGATTAAAATTAGTGATATTTTCAGAATTATATATATATATATATATATATATATATATATATATATATATATATATATATATATATATATATATATATATATATATATATATATATATAAGATACATGCTATTATTTAGACTCTTTAACATTTAAGTCTTTCTTTGTGACCGGTTTATCTGTGCAATGTCAAAATGATTAGCATATTAAGTGAACTCACCTTAAATAACATTTTAGTACCATGTGGCACACAATAGCATGCTTAATGAATGTCATTTGTTTTAAATTGGAAATGTACTTCATAATTTAGCATTGGGTTTTCCTTAATTAATATGAGAATAACAATGAGATAAGGTGCTTATTAACTAAGCACCTTAACTAAGTATATCATGAGAATACAGAAGACATTTTAAAGGCAGAAAATAAGTTTTAAAGTGAATGCAACTGACACCTCTCACTAAAAACTATTTTTTGAAAACTAACAGTTAGTCCTAGCAAGACAAACTACCCAGTATTCCACCAAGATACTGTGATATAAATTACTATAATATATAAATATATATCTTGAAGTTTTATTCCTCTTAAACAAAAGCATTTTTTCAACAATTTCAATTATTAATGAATGACATGTCATGCTTGTTATTCATTTACAGTTACATGTAATGTCCTGGAATGTCCACTAAACAAATTAGTTGCTGTTATAGCAGTTATAAACAGTCATTACCTCACCATATTCTCTTTTTCTCCTCTTTCTTGGTGTTAATAAGACAAAAAAAACGCAACTTGTCATGTTACAGAGAATGCAAAGTTCTCTGACTGTTACAAAATGCTGCCACCTTCCATAAATGTTAAATAAACGTCTCCTTACAGAAAGCTGTATAGCTCAAATCAACTATTACAAGTTTATCTTCGTTAAGTGCACATTTTCTAATCCTCTTTTCATGAGCCTTACAGTAGATTATGTGTAGCAGCTGCCGCTCATGTCCCTGTGAATAAGATGTTACTATAGGAACGATAATGTATTAGAGCGAACAGATTAAAATAAAACACAGCTGGCAGTACTGTCAGAGTTGCTGTTAGAGAAAATTAATCGACATGTTCTGACCAATTAGATTTGAGAATTCAGCAGTGCTGCGTTTCTCTGTGTTTTAATTCTGTACACATTTATACGTTTTGTGGTTTTGATGAACATTAGACAAGTCTTATACTACAGTGCTTTTGAATGCTCAGTTTGGAATGGTCAGATGTTGATGTTGATTCATTTCCTAACTGCAACTCTTACAGTAGTTCTGGCTGTAAGGTTTATATTAATGCTCTCCTTCTAATACATTATCATTTCTATAGTAACAACGTACACAGGGACATGTATAGCAGCTGTTCCACATAAATGGTTAAAAAGGTTGTTGATGAGGTAAAGTTTTCTGTAAGGACTGTTTATTTTCTGTCTATTCATTTTTGTAAGGACTATCCAGTGTCAGTGCTTTGTAACTGTCAGAGGTACGGTAAATCTGTAACTCTAAGTTTTTCCAACATGGAAAAGCCTTCAAGGCAGAGGGGTTTGCATTTTCTCTGTAATGTACTATTAACTTCAAGAGAGAGTAAGAGAGGCTGTTGAGGGAATTAATATTTATAGCTGTTATAAAGTTATAACAGGAACTAGCTTGTGTACATACATCATATTAGACATAACTATAAATGGATAAAATGTATGTGTAGTTCTTGTAAAACAAATGTAATTGTTGACAGATAACTGTGGTATAACAGGAAAACAATTCCACCACAATTTCGGGGGCGGTAACAGTACCAGGGCATATCACACACAACCCTGTCATTTATTATTTTCCTATAACAATACAGCCTGTTTTATTCCTGATTTAATCATTGTACCTGCCTGTGGTCAACTCGCTTCTCCATTCTGTGTGTTCTGCAGTGTATGGAGACGTGCCACACACTCTTTCTCCTGAATGGGTGGAGAAGCAAACCCAACGGATGATCGACATGAGGGTTAACCCTGTGCACGGCTTCTCTGTCAACTGGGACTATGAGAAGAAGCAGTGGAAGTAGAAACCCACTGTCTAACAGTGTATCAAGAGCCTACATTAACCTGAGGTTCAAACCTTAACAGCTTTAAAAATGTATTCACATAATGTATCAAATAAACACTGACTGGAATGTGAGCTTGTGTTTTATTTTCTGCTTTGAAGAACAAACCATTTGTCAGTTTAAATTAAAACATCAGTCAGGATTTGTCCATTTTAGCATTAGGTCAGCATGGTTAATGTATTTTGAATTGAATAATTTAGATAAGACATTCATGGTGTTTTGTTGGTTGAAAAGCTTTGTTGTCCATGACCATATAAATAACTGAACCATTATCTAGCGAGTGTGACTGTGTTATTAGGGTTCATCACACACTAATAAGAAATCTGTATGCAATCCAGGTCATGTAGTGACAATCAAGATTTGAAGATCCTCTTACATTATAAGAATATGAATAATAAAAAAAAGGCTAAAGCATGAGGTCATGCTGGACATATGGGTATTATTTTGGATTAAACCCAAAATAAACCCAAAATAAACCATGGACAATAAAATACAGCTTTACAAAACTGCAACCTTAACCAAAATTCATTTGGTTGATTTCTATCTAAACTATTAATGGTTGAGTCTATGTTCTTGTCATACATTCACACGTTTATAAGCTACTTTATTCTTTACAGCAGTGGTCATCAACCCTGTTCCTGGAGATCTACCTTCCTGAAGACTTAGCTCCAACCATAATCATGCCCACCTTACCATCTAATCATTCCCTGCATCCCTATTGGCATACTTACAGTGAGGGGAAAAAAGTATTTGATCCCCTGCTGATTTTGTACGTTTTCCCACTGACAAAGAAATGATCAGTCTATAATTTTAATGGTAGATTTATTTGAACAGCGAGAGACAGAATAACAACAAGAAAATCCAGAAAAACGCATGTCAAAAATGTTATCAATAGATTTGCATTTTAATGAGGGAAATATGTATTTGACCCCTCTGCAAAACATGACTTAGTACTTGGTGGAAAAACCCTTGTTGGCAATCACAGAGGTCAGATGTTTCTTGTAGTTGGCCACCAGGTTTGCACACATCTCAGGAGGGATTTTGTCCCACTCCTCTTTGCAGATCTTCTCCAAGTCATTAAGGTTTCGAGGCTGACGTTTGGCAACCCCCCAACCTTCAGCGCCCTCCACAGATTTTCTATGGGATTAAGGTCTGGAGACTGGCTAGGGACCTTACCTCTTTTGTATTCTTTTTAGCCACTCCTTTGTTGCCTTGGCCGTGTGTTTTGGGTCATTGTCATGCTGGAATACCCATTCACGACCCATTTTCAATGCCCTGGCTGAGGGAAGGAGGTTTGACGGTACATGGCCCCGTCCATCATCCCTTTGATGCATTGAAGTTGTCCTGTCCCCTTAGAAGAAAAACACCCCCAAAGCATAATGTTTCCACCTCCATGTTTGACGGTGGGGATGGTGTTCTTGGGGTCATAGGCAGCATTCCTCCTTCTCCAAACACAGCGAATTGAATTGATGCCAAAGAGCTCCATTTTGGCCTCATCTGACCACAACACTTTCACCCAGTTGTCCTCTGAATCATTAAGAAGTTCATTGGCAAACTTCAGATTGGCATGTATATGTGCTTTCTTGAGCAGGGGGACCTTGCAGGAGCTGCAGGATTTTAGTCCTTCACGGCGTAGTGTGTTAACAATTGTTTTCTTGGTGACTATGGTCCCAGCTGCCTTGAGATCATTGACAAGATCCTCCCGTGTAGTTCTGGGCTGATTCCTCACTGTTCTCATGATCACTGACAACATCCACGAGGTGAGATCTTGCATGGAGCCCCCGGCCGAGGCGGGAGATTGACAGTTCTTTTGTGTTTCTTCCATTTGCGTATAATCGCACCAACTGTTGTCACCTTCTCACCGCGAAGCAATGGTGCTTGTAGTGTATACAGATAACAAGCTGAGATTAGAGCACTAGCTTTTAAGAGTGGCGCTCATCGCGCTCGTTACATATATAAAGATACCTGGGAGCGAGAAATCTTTCTGATTGAGAGGGGGTCAAATACTTATTTCCCTCATTAAAATGCAAATCAATTTATAACATTTTTGACATGCGTTTTTCTGGATTTTTTTTGTTGTTATTCTGTCTCTCACTGTTCCAATAAATCTAATATTAAAATTATAGACTGATAATTTCTTTGTCAGTGGGCAAACGTACAAAATCAGCAGGGGATCAAATACTTCTTTCCCTCACTATGTACTAAAAGTATGTGCTCTTTTATAAAAAATTTTTTTATACTTTTGAGTGTGTATTAAGAGAACATACTGCACTAACACGCCATGTACAGGAAGAGAACATTGTAGCCCAGAAGAAAACACTGAAATGGTGGCTTAGTGTTTAGCACGTTCGCTTCACACCACTAGGGTTGGAGGTTCGATCCCTGCCCTTGCCCTGTGTGTGTGGAGTTTGCATGTTCTCCCTGTATTGTGGGGGTTTCCTTCGGGTACTCAGGTTTCCTCCCCCAGTCCAAAGACATGCATGGTAGGCTGATTGGCATGTCCAAAGTGTCCGTAGTGTAAGAATGAGTATGTGATTGTGCCCTGCACTGAGAAAGTCTGAATATACGCACTGCCTTGTGCCCGATGCTCCCTGGGATAGGCTCCACGTTCCCTGTAACCCTGAAGGATAAGCGGTACAGAAAATGGATGGCTGGGCGCACGGTGGCTTAGTGGTTAGCACGTTCGCCTCACACTGCCAGTGTCGGGGTTTGATTCCCACGGCTCTGTGTGTGCGGAGTTTGCAGGTTCCCCGTGACCATGAAAAGGAGTAAGCGGTTGAAGATGGATGGATTCCACATTTCCTTTACATCTCTCTAACATGCATACTTGAATTCGGTGACAAAACTCTTCTTCCCTTGCTAAAGGAGTTGTGGGCAATATTAACTGAAAAAGGTGTCCATGGATCCACACTTCAAAAATCTATCGAAACCGTAGACTATCCGGGTATCATTGGGATACTAATGTCAGCATGCTACGATCTGAGGTATACTAATTCTCATCTCGGATACTATTTAGTACAGATCGAATGCCAGTTGTGATGCAAGGACTGCCTTAATAAGTTCTTGATGAACTAAAACAGGTGTGTGTGGGGTTGTTTTTTTTTTTTGGTTAGAGGTGAAACCAAAAAAAGGAGGTCTCCAGAGGCAGGGTTGGTGACCACTGCTTTACAGTATCAACAACACTGAGAGCAGTTGGCTATTTCAGTGCGCACAATATGTTTATCCTGCCCTATTTGCAAGTTAAACTACTCGAGGCTCTGCGATTCAAATTTGGGAAGCGCCGCACATTAAAACGTGACTATATACACACCGGGTTATAAATAGAAAAGGAGGGGGAAAAACCCCAAAACGCATGCGAATCAACAGGCCTACTGTCATGTTCAGTGATGGCTTAAAAACTACGCGTAGAGTAAACCAGTCCTAAACGCTCAAAAATGGCACCCTACTGAATAAGTCGTGCGCTATATTTGGTTGCAGAATGTAAGTATTTCGTACCATTTCTAGTGCACTTTGAATGAGTACGAGGCCGTTTGGGATTTGGCCGCAGCCAGTAACCACTGAGAAAGATTGAATGGGTGACGTAGAGGAAGTGCCGGCCCTTAGGAGCAACAGCCTGCGCGTTCACAGCGTCTCCAATTACACACACAGAGATTGAATGAGCGAAGCTTCAGTTCAGCAGCACTGTCGGGATCTTCATCGCGCGATGTTAGCTTTCTACTGACAAATGCTGGAATTGCTTCAGCGTAATACCTGAGAGAGGTAAAAGGTAAAAGTGGAGCGCGAGCGTGCACTTCATACCGATTTCTCTTCCGTCTTTTTGTATTTATTTATTTATTTTTTATTTTTTTAGGGTGACGCCGAATGCGCATGAAATTCTAACGCAGGGAAATTGATTTCCGCAGCGCGCGCGTATTTATTATTAGATATTATTATTTATTGAGTATCATATTTCCAGCTGAAAATCCGAAGGGAAAAAAAAACAACCCACCATTGCGCATTTGCGCGGACGGACGAGCGACGCGTTGGAGCAGCGCCTGAATGAGCTGCAACTTTGCTCGGTGAAAAAAAAAAAAAAAGGGGCGTTCCGTGCTCGCGCGCTGCGATCGAGGCGGACGCTCGCGCACAGAAGCTCGCGGTGGTCCCGCCGCAAAGCGCGCCCTCTCATCAGCTGCAGCTTTGCGCCGCACAACTTCGGGATCTCGCGTCCGCTTTCTTGGAACAGCTCTCTCAGCCTAATGCTTAACGCAGTCGCCGCCAGGGCCCGGCGGGATCGTAAGAAGATCGACGCGCGAGACAGATGTGACCGGCGTGGAAATGGATCTCGTGTTGGTTTTGAGGTTTTGCTGCGCGACAGACAGTTTTCAGGTTGTTTCTGAGATGCGTTCCGAGTGACCCTCCGAAATTACGCATTGCGCGTCAGCTCGATTCACGGTGTTTAAAAAACAAAACAAAACAAACCCCAAAAATGGCAAACCAAAGTCCCTATGACAATCGGGATATCGTTGAGAAGTATCTTTATCACAAACTTTTGAAGCGAGGCTACGTGTGGGAGTTCCGCGCTGGAGCAGAGGAAGACGACGGATTGAGGGAGCCGCCGGCGGAAGTTGTGGATCGCAGGCCGCGCGCCGTGTTACCGCTGCACCGCGTTCTGCGGGAGGCCGGCGATGAGATCGAGCGGACGTACCAGCGCGATTTTGCGGCCATGTCGGACCAGCTGCACTTTACCCCGAGCACCGCGCAGCGCCGCTTCACCGCCGTCATCGAGGAGCTGTTCCGGGACGGCGTGAACTGGGGCCGTATCGTGGTCTTCTTCGAGTTCGGTGGCACCCTTTGCGTGGAGAGCGTGAACCAGGAGATGGCGTCCCAGGTGGACAACATAGCAAGTTGGATGACGGATTACCTGAACGGGCCATTGCAGAACTGGATTCGGGACAATGGAGGCTGGGTAAGTGCACGCAAATCTAAGCGCGCACAGTTTCTTTTTAATGCACAATACTTCAATTTACATTTACATTGTTGCAATAATAGTCTCTTAGAAACGGTGCGTGTGCCTATTCCATACGCGCATGCGCACTAACAACCTCCATGTGGGAAAAAAATGGGAAATCGAGCTTTCAGTTCCACGTGCTCCACCTTATACACATGTTCCGTCAGGAGTGCTCTCTCTCGACTATAACCGTATATAATCATTTGGTACTTATAGCCTAGTTCACTATTCTTTATGAGAATAAGTGTATCCTGCTTTGCTTTGTGGACATCAACTCATTCATTCATTCATTCACTCATTCATTTTTTGTAACCATCACAGTGCACCATGCACACACTCACACTCATTCACACCCAAAGGGACAGTTAGAATAGCAAGTCCATGCCGGTTTTTGGGAGATGGGGGAAACCGGCGAACCCTGCGGAAACCCACACTATCATGCGGATGACTTGTGAAACTCCATACAGGCTGAAACATTGAAACCTAAGTTTGGGCTCGAACTAGTTGACCCTGAAGCTGTGAGGTGAAAACGCCACCCACGCAAAATCAATCAAGGCTTATTTGTTTTAATTGTTCATCACACTGAGCTACTGCTGTGTCTTTTAGAATTGCATTCGTGTGCTGAATATTCTTCACTACGCTTTCAGACATGATGGCAAAACTACCAAAATAGCGCACTGAAGTCAATAGTATGAGATTTTGTATCTCACACTGGTATAGGTTAACCATCATAAGCATAACTATCTTAACTCAAATATGCAAGGGATGAAATTTTTTTTTTCCTCTTCTTCTTTTTTCTTTTTCTTCTTTCGTTAGTAGGGATATGGGGGTGTGCAGAGCTCTTTCTACATCCTACTGGTTCCTGCACTGCAGTGCTTGTGCGCTGAATAATTTACAGCTCAAATTGAAGCAGCCCATCACAGCTTTGTACACTTTTTTACATGAAAAGAGGAAATTTTAACCAGTATCTGGCTGCACACAGAAGGATCCCTCAGAAACTCACTGTGCCGGCTTCTTATCCTAAAGAAAATCTTGAATTCACCGTTATAATTTACACGCTGTGTTACGTTCAAGGTGTTTTGTTCCTGCACATCTTTAATATCACTGGCACGAGCAACAGGGATGGTACAGTCTAGATTCCACTTAGGTTAGCCTAGTTTTTGTTTTTATTTTTGGCTGAGAGCGATCAGATGGGAGGGTGGTGGGCCAGGGGGACCATTATTCCTGTCTGGGCTGTGGATGGACTGGGGCAAAATTAATGGCGCTCATTACTTAACACATCTGCTGCAGGTTACTCTGAGATGGAGTAAAAAGCCTTTCTGACATGATGGGTTGAATAGTGAGTCAGAGCTGAGAGAAATGACCACTCAGCCATGCCACATCATCCGCTGTATCACACTGTCAATCTTAACCTAACCGTCTAACATTTACAAATTACATGAAAAGAAATAAATCTTATTACATGTGATTGAATGTATTCAGCATATGAATGCATGTGGGTATTGAAGGGTGTGTTTATGAGACAGTGTTTATAGGATGCAATTAGCTTGGCAGTACGTTAATGATGTTTTAATTCATGTTTGCATTATTCACAATGCAGCTACTCTCTTGGCCAGAGGCAATCCATGGTTAGTCCATTTTGTCAAGAAAATCATGCTTATGTTTCACCTTAGTTATTGCAGAGGGAATTATTTTGCACAAAGATTTTATGTTGTACATTTGTATCTTTACATTTGCCTCTCTACATTTGTTTTCCTCAATGTAGCGTCCGTTTGATTATTTCTTGCACTGAGCCCAAGTCATGTGTATTTCTGTATTCTTTCCTCTAATACTGGATTTCTTAAATAGGCATCTCGTTTCCTGTCAGTTTATTTCATCCATGGTCCTTATATGTTGTGTTTTTATATTAATTAGTCTTAAGTCATCACTCAACCCCTGTCACTCACACAGCGACCACTGTCAGATCAGTAAACTGGTGGCTTTAATAATCCCAACCGTTTACACAGCTTTAATGAGTATCACGTGTCCTTGCTAACAAACAAAAGTGTATACAGAGACTAAATCATCACAAAACGTGTACTCTTGGTGGGGGGGAAAGATCCTGACTGCTTATGATTTCCCACAAAGCATTTACATCAAAATTTGAATATATAAAATGGGCTAAAACATAAATGCTCCTAAATGATTGTCTTCTCTCAAAAAGTGTAAATAGGACCTCTTATTCATTCCTAAACTGGCTCATATTTCAATTAATGTGATTTAAATACATGGATAAAGCATATGGAATAATTACTCAGTATGTGGAGAACACTGCACACAATTCTGCTGCTTTTTTTCATTGCTCTTCTTCCTGACACCCTGCTGAGGCTCCCTTTCTACCAAACACGTGATCAAGACCTTCATCTTATTTTGGTTCTTTTTCCGATTGAATCTGGCATGCAGTTGAGTTTCTGAAGACTTTGGAAAAACCTGTATTTATATGGAGCAAGATGCAGGAATTCTCACTGTAGTGGTGAATATAATTGAACTGAATTGACTGTTTCTGATTGTATTTTTTGTTTTGTTTTGTTTTTTAATAATATGATTCATGTAAAGGTGGCCTGGTGGAACAGAGGGTAGTCTTTCACAACTCCAGGGTCTCTGGTTCAATCCTGACCTCAGTCTGTTTAGTTGCTGTCTGTATGGACCTGGAGTTCCTTAGGGTTCTCTGGTTTCTTCCTAAAAACATGCTGGTAGGTAGACCAG